TATTTATGTAAGGCTTTAAGTATTACTTTGTATTTATGTAAGGCTTTTGACACTTGACCATGAACGACTACTGGGAAATGTGAACAGTGTGGCTTACGGGGGGTTACACATGAGTGGTAAAAGAGTTATTTAAGCAATAGATTACAATATGTACAGGTGCAGGTCATAAAATTAGAATATGATCAAAAAGTTGATTTATTTCAGTAATACCATTCAAAAAGTGAAACGTAGAACAGCAGAGCTAACGGGACGAGCTAACTCATGAACAGAGCAATTATAGTTATACTCTGACACTGTTTCACAAAATGATTGATATATAGTTGTTGTTTTTTTTTTACCAGAACTAAAGTGATAATCATATATCATTAACTACAGTGTTTTGGGTCAAACATAGTGGTATAATCCGATCCTTTGAACCCCCTCCCCCTCTAATGTCTCATAATAGTACAGTCTGTTTCCAAACGGCGGGAACTATGGCGGTATCAACGGTTTGGTCCGCCATTTTATTCCTAACTAGCCTTAAACTGTCGACTTGTGACATTCTTGTCGAAGTTTTTCTTTTATTAATCAAAGTTTACCCCAAAAACCATTTTACAAAATGGTAAGTATATTTTATTTGAATACCCTTAGACTGTAAGGATCGATTTTAGGGAGTGATTGTTTTTGTTTTTAAACGGTTGTGTCTCTTTAAATGGAGAAAGTCAGATGGAAAAAAAAACTGGTTTTGAAGAAAAAGCCCATTGTTTTGCTTTTTATTAAAACGTGTCCCACCGGAAAGACGTCTATGGGAGTTTTGGTCGTTAAGAAAGTTAATATTTAATCTTTATCTTGGTTTAAGTATTAAACAGTGTGAAGGTTTTTAGCTCAGCCGTTAGCGGCTAACGGTTTCCTCTCCCGCCAAACGGTCGCGAGGCTGAAGTTGGCTTCCGGTTGCACTTCCGGTTAAAGAGCTAATCTACTCAAGTAGTGTGTGCTCGTGTGTTAGTTAAAATCTGGATTAAAGGAACACTGGTCTGAGCAGTGAAATTAGTCGTTTAAAAACTAGTTTAAAAATTATTTTAGTTTGTGTGGTTCATGTGCCAATCGTCTCTTTTTAACTTTTATTTTAAACAAATAAAATTACAGTTAAACTGAGGTCTGTTCCCTTTTTAGTTTAAAGTATTTTAATTACTTTTGGACCGTCTCAATGGTAAATCATCAGTTTAGCGGCTTTGAGATCAAATCTGTTTTCTGTTTTTGTCGTTGGCAGCGCGAGTGCATCTCGGTCCACGTGGGTCAGGCCGGCGTCCAGATTGGAAACGCCTGCTGGGAGCTGTACTGCGTGGAGCACGGGATCCAGCCCGACGGGCAGATGCTCGGCAAACATGTCAATAAAGACGACGACCATTCCTTCAATACCTTCTTCAGCGAGACCGGTGCCGGGAAACATGTCCCCCGAGCCGTGTTTGTGGACCTGGAGCCCACCGTCATCGGTAACGCCTCATCCCTCCAAACGAACCTTTTAATTTAAAACGACTGTCGGTTAATTTACCTCTGACCTCTTTAGACGAGGTGCGCACTGGGACCTATCGCCAGCTGTTCCACCCAGAGCAGCTGATCACCGGTAAGGAGGACGCCGCCAACAACTACGCCCGCGGTCACTACACCATCGGAAAGGAGATTATTGACTCAGTTCTGGACCGGATCCGCAAACTGGTAACTTTATAATTGGGACATTTTTAATTCAGCCTTGGCAGCTCTGAGATCTCACGAGCGGCACAGTTTGAGTCCAGGACTTGTCTTCTCCTGTCCTCAGGCGGACCAGTGCACCGGCCTTCAGGGCTTCCTGGTCTTCCACAGCTTCGGTGGAGGTACTGGTTCTGGTTTCACCTCCCTGCTGGTAGAGCGTCTGTCTGTGGACTACGGCAAGAAGTCCAAGCTGGAGTTCTCCATCTATCCGGCTCCTCAGGTGTCCACGGCTGTGGTGGAGCCATACAACTCCATCCTGACCACCCACACCACCCTGGAGCACTCGGACTGTGTCTTCATGGTGGACAACGAGGCAATCTACGACATCTGCCGCAGAAACCTGGACATCGAGCGTCCCACCTACACCAACCTGAACCGGCTCATCAGTCAGATCGTGTCCTCCATCACCGCCTCTCTGCGCTTCGACGGCGCCCTGAACGTGGACCTGATGGAGTTCCAGACCAACCTGGTGCCGTATCCCCGCATCCACTTCCCCCTGGCCACCTACGCCCCCATCATCTCCGCCGAGAAGGCGTACCACGAGCAGCTGACGGTGGCCGAGATCACCAACGCCTGCTTCGAGCCGGCCAACCAGATGGTGAAGTGCGACCCCCGCCATGGGAAGTACATGGCCTGCTGCCTGCTGTACCGCGGAGACGTGGTGCCCAAAGACGTGAACGCAGCCATCGCCACCATCAAAACCAAACGCACCATCCAGTTCGTGGACTGGTGTCCCACTGGCTTCAAGGTGGGCATCAACTACCAGCCCCCCACTGTGATCCAAGGAGGAGACCTGGCCAAGGTCCAGAGGGCCGTGTGCATGCTGAGCAACACCACGGCCATCGCCGAGGCCTGGGCCCGGCTCGACCACAAGTTCGACCTGATGTACGCCAAGAGGGCCTTCGTGCACTGGTACGTGGGCGAGGGCATGGAGGAGGGCGAGTTCGCCGAGGCCCGTGAGGACATGGCCGCCCTCGAGAAGGATTACGAGGAGGTGGGGGTCGACTCCGTCGAGGAGGTTGAGGAGGAGGGGGAGTATTGAGGAGGAGACGCGGAACGTTTTTAAATTGTTTGTGTTCGTTGTTCTGAAACGTTTAAATTAAAGTTTGTTCCCAACAGGACGGTTCGATTCCTTCAGGCTCCAGTTTAGACAAAAGATAAAAATATATTAATATAAAAATATATTAAGATAAAAATATATTAAGATAAAAATATATTAATATAAAAACGATGAAGAGCGGCGCTCATGAGAAACTTGACCGACCGCCATCACAAAACAACCACTTCCTGTCTGAAAACAGCCGAACTGATCTTGATCTGTCGACATGAAACATCAGCTAAAACACCCTCAAACCTCCTACGGCTGATTCAAACTGTTTTTTATTGATCGTTGAACTTTGTATCAGTCCTGATCAAACAAAACGATTCAGCAGAACGATGAGAAACAGACGTGAAGTCTGAAAAACTTCAAAATATAAAAATGATCTAAACACGCCGCTGACGAGGAGCCGTGTTTGTTTACCTGCGGCGGCCATCTTGAATCAGTTCATTAAAACTCGTCCAGTGGTTTGAGAGATTTTGCTGACAGGGTTTACTGCCAGATGTTGAGATGTTCCAACTGACCTGAACCCGTTCCATTTCTGTTTCCGAAGGTTAGCTGCGGCGGCCATCTTGAGTTACACAAATGTTGCTGTTGTGTTCGGCAGCCGGCGACGAGACTCGAGGTTTAAACAAACAAAGCCAGAAAACATTTTCTGTAAGTCCCGTAAGACGAGGGACACCGTGGACACTGGACAGGCCCCGCCCACCACAGGACACACGGAGACAAACGTGGAGCGAAGACTGAAAACAAAACGATAAACAGTCGAGACGAATGAGAAGTTACTTTAAAACGGAACAAAACGAAACCAAAGTGACTCCAGATCTAAAAAGAAGTTATTTACAATGTACAAATATAAAATGTTTAAATACATAAAACTTAATTTTTATAAACAAAATTACAAAGATGTAAACAAACAGAGCGCTGCGGCTGAAAAAGGTCAAAACTAGATTTTATTAAAACTGTTTCAAACTCTAAACAACTTCAAACAAACTGGAGAATTTAAAACGTCAGAAGGTTTTCCCCTCAGAGATGTTTGTTTGTTTGTTTGTGAGCAGAATAAACAAACGAGACAAAGTAAAGTTGGGGTCAGTTTATTGATTTAAAGCCTCTGCCTGTTTTCACTTTGGACGACGTCAACAGAAGTCTTCTGTTGGTAAACAAACAAACAAACAGATTTAAATCCAAACGTAAAGTTTCTGGTTTCAGAAGCATCAGAGGGAAATAAAGTTGTTGTTTTTAGCACAACGTCCAAAATAAACAAAACAGTCACAGAGGTGAAAACAAAAAGAATCCAAACGTTGAAATCTGCAGGTTCCGATTTTAATTTTAAATCTTTATTTTGGTCTTTTTGTTCTGAATAAACCTTCGGCTGAGTTTAAACTTTAGAGCAGCCAAGATTCTCAAAAACAGCCGAAGTTTTCTTTGGCTGTTTTGGCTTCAATGTTCAACCTGTCAGGAACCGTCTGACCCGAAACGCCTCCGCCTGTTCCGATTTACCCTGAACCCCTCAACAGCGTGCACACACGTGCGCACGTCGAGGACACAACGAGGCGCTCGTCCTTCATCAAAACCTCCTCTGGTCCAAAAGCTCCGGAGATGTTTGTCAACAAAAGAAACTCAGAACCCGACCGGTTCTGTTACGACCCGTTAAAAAACTCAGAGGAGGTTCTGGCTGAACGACCGTCAGGGACGAGGTCCAAACACAAAACACAAAGGTGCAACATTTACCACAAACATCTGCACAGGAGACAAACAAACAAACAACATCCCTGACGTCTGAAACAAACTCATACACACACACACACACACACATGACACACACACACACATGAAGACACACACACACATGACACACACACAC